ATATATATATATACATGTATATATATATATCATCACTTATCGTTATCATGATAAAACCTAGAAATCATCGTGATAAATGTTTAATCCATATCACCCATCCCTAGACCCTAGACAGTTTTTGATCTTTCTAAAATCACAACAACWTAACAGTATTTTAATCACAGTATTAGAGGTATTAAAAGGATGAATGCACATTCGTTCTAAAATTATTCTAAACAGCTTGATAGAAAATATGCGTGAAGTGCATTTAACAGTCTACAACAGGGATCATCAATTTCGGTCCTCGAGCTCCGCWGCTCTGCATGTTTTACTTGTTTCTCTGCTCCAACACACCTGATTTGAATGATTCGTTGATTATCAGGCTTCTGCAGAACTTGGAAGAGGTAATTCAATGACTGAATCAGGTGTGTTAGAGAAAGGAAAAAATGTAAAACTTGCAGGGCTGCGGACCTCGAAGACCGTAATTGATGATCCCTRGTCTATAAAGTCAATAAGTCTATCACTTTTTAAATTCAGGTGCTGACAAAGCATTAAATTTGCTTGATCAATGTACATTTTTGCATGAACCAATCACAATGCGTTGTCACTTGAGAGTYCCCAATAAGGCAAGAAAACTCCAGATCTGAAGCTGCCAATAAAAGCAGTTCTAACCCTAAAAGTCACAATATTGGCAGCACAAAATCAAAAATGGTGGGTTTTAAACACTGTACAGTGGTCCTCTGCAATCCTAAAGCATTTATAATGTCTAAAAGGTTTATGTCTGACTGAGCTCATTTGTAAGTCTTTGCTATTAATGCTGAAGGGCTTTTAGTAACTATCCATAAAATCCAATCTTGTCTTCGTACTCGAAGTGTACTTTATAGTTCAGCTGTTTCACACTGGTCTCATTCTGTTTTAGTAAACTCCGTACAAACCTTTATTTTCTTCCATCCTGGGCGTTCCCAGCGGGGAACTATTTGCATGTAACATTAATTCATATGACATTTCCCAAGGCCAGCATTTATACCGCAAGCACCTTCCAAATAACAGTGAGGCCAATCCATTACCTCAGGTACGGTCTGGTGACATTATTACCCCTCCCTTTGTTTGAGCTTGTAACAGTAAGGACATTACACACACACCTACACACACRCATTTGTGCATGAGCAAAAATTCATGACAGGATTATGTTGTGGCAATCGCTGGGTGGAGAACGGGATCAATACACCTGGGGATGAGGGGGCGGAGCGGACCATTTTTCAGGTTGTGCGAGGGATTAGGGGGAAACACACAGAGCAGCAAGGTGGAGACGACAGTGKCAAGGGTATTTCCCATCAAGATTGTTAATGTCGTGTGAATAACTGGGGTCTTAGATCACCGTGGAGAGGAACGAAACATAGACGGTGCTATTTAAAGA